TAGTACTACTGTTTAAATTTTAATTTTAAACTTCTTCATTTTCCCATACGTCCATAAAACGGGCGTCAGATTCTTACAAATTCGTTTCAATGAATTATTGCCGGAATAATTCACATTTAACGAATTTTACAATAAAAACAATTATTCGCTAATGTTATCAACTGTTTACCTATTTACTATGCTACATTTGGAATTATATTTTTTATATACAAGTTTGTCTTTTACTTTTCAATACCATTCATATTATTATTGTAATGAAATACTAAGATAAAGAGGAAGTATAAAAGTGAATATATTTAATTATCTGTTAGGATATAAGACTGAAATCTTAATAATAAATATGTTTATATATAAAGACTTTATTTTTTACAAACTCAACAAACTAGCCCTGTCTATAAATTATCAACAAATAAATACAATACACGATTTCGTAATGACTATAACCATTTGAAATTATTTAACGATTATACTGATAATAATGTTTGTGTATATTTTACAGAGACGATAACTGTGTACGATTCAGTCATGAATTATAAAAACATCATTTTACACTATTGAAACGCACTCAAATCTTTTATAAAAAAAACGGCTAAGGGCGTGTATACCACGCGCAGTGAAGAGTTCTTTAGTTGCTCGTCGTCGCTTAATTTATTTTGGAAAGAGTACTTATATTTAATGCATTTACTTCGTCTAAGTCGCTTTTAATGATTTTTTATTAGGTCAGAAATTTTCTAATACATAAGTAGAACGACTATTATTCTTAAACTAACAAATTAACAAATCCATTTTATCTCCTATAATTTTCATGACAAGCACTATTATCATGAATTTTTCAAGCCAATGGTTTAGCTTTTAGGGGGGTAGATTAGCAGTTTAAAGTTTATTAAATATTTCGCAAACGGATCCCTAAATCGAAAAAAAGTCTCTAGGACCCCCAAATAGTTTTAAAGTAACTATTAACGATACCCCACAATATGGGGTAAACGATGAAAAGAATTAATTATCTCCAGGTAGGAGGTAGGTAGGTATAAGCTATCCTAAAAAAAAATTTTTTTTTTTTCAAAATTTGATGATGATGGGCATGATTGAAAAACATATCTCCACAAAATTACAGCTATCTTGTACTAATTTTCTCCAAGCAAAACCAGGAGCAGACAGACGGACATGACGAAACTATATAACTTTCTGTACAGCAGGGTTTCGTTTGAAAATTCTTTCTGACGCTGACTGAACATCAATATGAGATGTGCATTAACCTGCAACCGCCAATTTGGTCCATTCTATTTGGCTTCATCTCAAAAATAAAATCTTTATTTATTATGCAATATTGTGTTGCATTGTATGCGCTCAAAACATACATCCGATTATTTCTCATAACTTGTACTATATAACCAGAAATCTATATAATAAGTTTACAAAACAATGATTTTAAGTTTTTAGACATTAAGTAGTTTAAAGATAGTTCTATGTAATTAAACAATTTATTGGAGTCAAAATGTTTATTGGCAGGGTGCAAAGTGGGTGGAGGGCGTAGCCAATACGATCACAGCATCGCTACAGCTAAAATTGTCATTTTTGACGCTGACTTGAGCTGTCAAATCCATATCGAAGTAAACATTTTCATATCGTTTTTGAGATAAATTTAATATGGTCCTAGTAAGATGTTAAGGTATATACGAGTAATTCCACTATGACTCATTTAGTCACTGATTGAACGGAAAATCGTCGTCGAAATTTTATGATAATAATGATGATGCGAGATGCTTGCATCGTCAATATGTTACGTTTACGAGTAAAGGAGTTTTGACGACCTCTGTGGCCGAGTGGTTTGTACGCCGGGTTTCATGGTGCTGCCTACTCGAGAGGTCCCGGGTTCAACTCCCGGTGGGGGCAGATGTTTGTGTGATGAATACGAGCATTTGTACTCCAGTCATGGATGTTTCATGTATATTTCTAGATATATATACTTATATATGTAAAGTATCTGCATTCTATCAGTTACCCTGGTATCCCACACAAGCCTTATAATGCTTACTTTGGGGCTAGGCTAATTGGTGTAAGTGTTGCAAAATATTTATTTATATAAAATTTTTGTTAAGTTTCCATAAGCAAGCTCTGTTTTGCGCAGGACCATATGATTTCGAATAATTAAACATTTTTTTTATTGATCTAGACTTGGTCACAAGTTGTAAGGTTGCCCCCCCACGGTAGGGGTACCGTGTAAATCACAAAATCCCCGCTTGAGCTATTAAGTGTTAAATATTATATAGATGCAAGTTATTTATTAGACTCTTCGTTATCCTTTCAAACAGAAAGCTGTTGTATTAATTCAGTTCCTCTATTTGCCTTTTTTAAATTTTCAATATCCCGGATATTGAATTTTAAATTTGTAAACGAAACAAACAATACAGTCAAGGTTGGATAGTTAATCGCGAAAGAAGCTTCGAGCAGTAAGCCAGTCCCAAATAAAATTAACATCCTTTATTGTTAGTATGCAATACGATGCATGTGGGCATCCAACATGAATCATCTTCCAAGAGCCACAATTGGAAAATTGTGCAATTTGGTTTGCTTCTTACGTACAGATGCATAAAAAAGTACTCGACTGGACTCAATATATAATTTTGATGTCTATTTACATTAAATGCTGAACTTAGTCGTTTAAGGCATTTCCGAAGCAAGTCGGTTAAACTCCAAACAGTATTGGATACTGTTAATCGCATATCAGTTAATAGGTACATGCAGCAGTTATTGAAGTAGCCATTTTTTCATATTTTATAATAATGTATTTTATAAAATACTAGCGGCCCGCCCTCGCTTCGCTCCAGTGTAGAGCTGAAGTGTAGACTACAGTTTTTGTTCTCAGGCTTGTATTATACACAATAACATTCATCTATGATTCTTCTTACACCTGCATGCAAAGTCTCAGCCCGATCGGTTTAAAATTGACAAAGTTTCATACAAACTTTCATTCCCTATTTTATCCCCTTGGGGGTAGAATTGATCAAAATCCTTTCTTAGCGGATGCCTACGTCATAACATCTACCTGCATGCCAAATTTCAGCCCGATCCGTCCAGTGGTTTGGGCTGTGCGTTGATAGATCACTATGTCAGTCAGTCACCTTTGAGTTTTATATATATAGATGAAAAAATGCCTATCGGTTGAATCGTGATCGGATAAAGTTGTCCAATCCCTTAGAAAAATAATTATCAAGAACGCAATAAAAGAAAGTAGGACATCGTATAAAATAAGAGTAGAGATGATGATTTATCTGAAATCTATAAAACTACAATTTATTACTGTCTGAACAGCAATAGAGGCATCAAAGACTTTGAGAAAGGCTGATCGATCATAGATGTTTTTGAAGATTTCATAATTTATTTCAAGGTATAGTAAATAAACTACAGAAGTTCGCACTGTACTTCATTATAAAATAATAGGCTTTTCATTCGCAGGTTATTGTTAAAAGTGCTTCTTTTACTATTGTATACATCTTCTCGCCGAGTCCCGGGTGGGCTAGGAGTATAATAATATTAAATTATCGACTTTTAGGGGAAATAGTGCAATTGGCTGTTTGTTCAAATTTATTGTTGATATAACAATATTATGCTTTCCGTATTTGACGTTTTTTTAGCGTTCTTTTGTATAAAAAGGCATGTATAGCATTAGTAGAATTTCTCAAAAATATAGAAAAAGAGAAAATTATAGGTGCATGTAAAAGCGTTGTCTCCGATTATACACAATTAGTCTCGTTCAACGATAAAGATTCACAATTTGTGATGAAAGCAACAAGTGACGCAAGTGTGATACGGTGTCAGGTTTTTTCACAGAAAAATCTGGATATATTTTATGCTCTTCGGAGCTGTACTATCAGCATCGGCTGATGTAATAAAAACTGTAATAGATGAGGGAGGTATGTTCACTAAATTTCAATATCTTTAGGCCGTGTTGTGTTTCTATCGATAAGAAGGGCTTCGACGTCTACGCGTGGTAGAAGAAGGACTAGGCAGGCCACGTAAGCATTTAGTACCTAGGCCGTAGTAGACGCTTTCGAAGATTTATTAATAATATCTAATCTATATACTAATATTATAAAGAGAAAAGATTTGTTTGTTAGCATTGAATAGGCCCTGAAACTACTGGACCGATTCGAAACATTCTTTCACATTTAGAATCCTTCATTATCCTAGATGAACATAGGCTATAGAGTATTTTCGAAAGAAAAGAAAGAATAGAAAACTTCGATAATGTAACTCAACGTGTGTAAAAAATACCAGAAAAATAACCTTATGTCGCGTATGCTGTGGAAGTCATTGACAATAGAGCAAAGTAATATACTAAAGTTTTAAAGAGGACATCAATATCTACAAAAAAGTTCGCGATACCATATGTCTATCTGTCACAGTTATGTCACAACTAGAGGTCCCCTGCGGTTATTAATTTAAAAAAAGGTTATAGTAAGTCAAACTTAAAATATGGACATATGCTGTCGCGGACTTTTTTACAGAACTTTTAAAGGGGAACAATTCCGTTATACATGATTTTTGTGTAACTTCAAACCGTTTACCGAGTGCACGCAACGGAATCTCACAAATGGAATATTTTTACCCGTTTAGCAATATTTTTCATCGATGCTCAGCTGCTACTGGTCGTAACCTGATGTTATGTACCCTAAAACCGTCCTCGATTAATTCACTATCCAATACAAAATCATTTTTTCAAATGGAAACAGCAGAACAATGATGCATTCGGTACAACGGGTCCTAAACTACGCAACTTTTTATTTACTTGAAATGGAAGGTTTATAATTATTATGAAGAAAGTCATTGTTAATAATACAAGCCTTTGAACAAAAACTATTATAGTCTACACTACAGCTCTACACCGAAGCGAAGCGAGGGCGGGCCACTATAAATATCTTTTCATAATAATAAATATATTTTGTAATTTCTTTTTATAACAATATATACTCATCTTATTAGTATTTACTAATATATTTGCAGATTTTTTTCGCACCGATCAAATGTTTTTGAAGCAAATAGTACCACCATCCGGTTATTCATCGTATGGAAATGACAATAAGACTTTTCAGCTTTCTTACATGTTCCCAAAGGTGACAACATTGCTTAGTAATAACATTTAAAATGTAAGAAAAATCTTTAGGTCTATATATAAATCTAACAGTTGAATGCTTAATAAAATTATTCTTAGCAAAATTTACCAACATGTAAAATAAATATTTGCATGCTTGCAAAATTTAAGAGAATCTATTTTTCAGGAGAATAAATATTATTCAACTTTTAAAGAATATGTCGAAAAGGGGATAACTATGAAAGGATTGACATTTAATATTTATGATGATAAAATGAGAAATGCTGCAATAGCTTTATTTAAACTTATAAGAAATACAAGAAAAGACGAAAAATTTAATTTTATCAATTTAACAAAATGGATTCATTATAACGTTAACAGCGATATGGTAGATTACGCTTCGCGTCTTGCATCATTGTTTGATACTTCCACCCCCGATGAGAAATTTTTACCTCCTTTCTTAGTGAAGCCAAACTACTTTGTTGGAGGTGAAACAATATTCAAAGCATTTTACTTCAGTGATAAAATAGGTAAAGTCACTGAAAACGTAATGAAAACGTACCAAATTTTAAACATAGACGAAAACAGTATTGCTATTAACACGAATTATTCTGGTTGGAATATGCCACCAGATGCATGTGACAAACTAATTAAATATTACACTGAAGACATTGCGCTCAACAGTCATTATTACGGATTACAGCTTTTACATCCATTTTGGATGACCAATGAAGAATTGGCTGTTTTCAATCCACGACATGCTGAGCACTACTATTTTTCACACAAACAATTATATGCTCGATATCAACTAGAAGAAGAACATTTGCAAGCAGATGTAGCAGCACTGCAAGCAAAATATGAACCACAGTATAACCCATATTTATATTACGATAATGGTCTTCCATTTCCATCTAGATGTGCTACTATTGGCGATGATAAAAAGAATGACGACAGTTATTTAAAAACAAAGGATTCGGAAATTAAGGAAAGCATTCATAGAGGAAAATACACGGTATAAACTTGATAGCCTGGATAAGATTTTTAGCACTTTCAAAAATAAATAATGGAACTCTTCAATGGCAAACAGTACACAAATTGGGTTTAATTATTTTATGAAATGCAAACGAGAGAATATTGGCCGGAGAAAAAAATATTTCTAACACACACTAGCCCCATAGTATCTAAGCACTGTATGTAAGGCTTGTGTTATGAGATACTAGGTTAACTGAAAGAGTACATATATAAGTATATTTTTATTTAGAAATACATATATACACATCCACATAAGTCTTGGTACAAATGCTCATCATACAAACATTTGCCCCACCGAGATTTTTTTTCTTTAGATTTATACATCTGACTCTTATATAATTAAAATCCAATTTTTTTTTCTTATTTTTTTTATCTCTCAGGAAAATGGTACACTGGTGGAGCTAACGGAAGATAATTATATTAATCTTGTAGCAAAACTTGTGCGTTCTAAAATGAATAACATAAAAAATGCAAAAATTGCAAGGAATGTCTATGGTTACCGAGCTTCAGGTTACCCGATTAACAAGTATGTACTATTAGCAACTTGATTTCTGTACCATCATAAGCTAGTTTTCTTAAAACCTTTGCAAAACAATAAGGCAAACTTTCACTTAAATAAAGGTATCCCTGGAAACAAACTTGTTATTTTCAGAACAATTTCTTTTGACGTGACTTATTTTGCCTTCTTCCTGTGACTCACACCCGGTTTCTGAAACGCATGTCATCGAAAAAATTACGTAACAAATTGTTAATCTCTATTTAAATGCACTTTGGGTTTCTCAATGAGCCAAGTGACAGTTTGTCAATGATTTGTTGTTGCAAATGTCAAATCTCGAATTAATGGCCGATTGCGGTAGTTTTTGGTTTCCGGAAAGCTTTTTTGTATGTTAACTGCATGTTAACGTTTTGTTGTGTTTTAATAAGTAATTGGTGAAAATTGATCAATTAACAGACTGTCAAAAGAAATTTTACTGATATTTTGGTCAGAGGATTGTTGTAGTGGTAGTAAAAAATGTTGTCAGATTTATCTGTTGACGATATATCCCTATCTAGTGACGAGGAAGATCTGGCACCAACTCGCCAGTTCCGGAAACGAATAAATCCTGTAATTCATTACAATGGTGAAGAATTTAAGGATCGCTATTCAAAATCTGTTTTCCATCAACTAATGGGAAAACTGACACACCTGGAACTTAAAACGAACAATTATTGTACACTAAAGCCTTCCTAGAATTATGGCTAACCCAACATAAAAAGAATATTTCAATTCAGTTCAGCAGTTCCTGATGTTAAAGCGTTCAAACAAACAAACAAACATCTTTATATTGTAGTTCATATCAGATTTACACTATAATTATTTTACTTTTTATTTGCTTTAGAAGTAAATTCCAATTCTTTAACTTTTATTTCTAAATTCTTCAATTTTTTTCCAAGTCACGTTTTTTTTACACCGTCACTGCATTGGTAGACTTATTTTCTATTATTGCTTTGTACCTACATTGAAATATATATTATCAATATACACACATCAAAAGTGTCTAGGGATCAACATATATTTTTGCAATAACTTTTCTCCTGATTGATATTAATTAAAATTTTCTTTAAGGATTCATCAAATAAAGTGTTTTCGTTTGTCACAGTAACGATAAACCAAGTCACCTTTGCATTAATAAAGAAATTTGCCATTTTCCTAATAAAGGGATTTTTGACATTTGAACCACTAACACAAAAGTTCGAAAAAAAGACTGAAATAACAGTTTTCTCTAAAATTTTATTGGGTAACTTAAACAATTAATAATCCGTATTTCTACCGCGAACACTAACAACACAAGAACATCGGTTTGGCATACTCAAAATGAGTTCATCCAAATCACGCCGTGGAATGGCCGCCCATGTTCGTTGCAACAACAAAAAAAGGTCTTCTTGCGACTGGATACCCTCCATATTCGGCAGAGCTCTTCTCTGTAGCATATCCCATGCATGCTCAATCGGGTTCAAGTCTGGCGACTGAGCAGGCCAGGGCAGGACATTGATGTTAGCTGCGGCGAGAGTCTGTCTTACAACTCTTGCGGTGTGCGGTCGTGCATTATCATGCATTAACTGAAATAAGGGACCGATTTGCACTTGTAGAGGAACGATGACGTCTGATACAATCGTCTCAGCATAAATTTGAGCGTTGAGGTTGCCTCTGATCCAAATCAACTCAGTTCTTCCGCCGTTCCAAATACCCGCCCATACCATGATGGTTCCACCACTATAAGGATGGACTTCCTGGCAGGATTTTAATCGCTGTTGGCGTCCAGGGGTTCTCCAGTGTCGTATACGTCTTGTATCTGGTCTCATACCAAAACGAGACTCATCAGAAAAGCACACGAAACGCCATTGTTCTTCTGCCCAATTTCTGTGTTCAAGAGCCCATTGATATCGAATCCTACGATTGTGCATTGCTATAGGTGGTACCCGTAGCGGTCTTCGGGAATGAAGGTTCACTTCATGCAAGCGGTTTCTGACTGTTTGGTCGCTAATTAAGTTCCCTGAAGAGTGATGAAGCCTCACGGCTAACATCATGGCGGTTATTGTTGGAGCTCTTCGAGTTAAGATTTGAATGTATCGGTCTTGTCTCCGTGTGGTGCAGCGATACCGTCCTCCATGGCGCTCAGCCACGGTACCAGTGCTTCGGTATCGTGTCCAAAGTCGACTGATAACACTCTGACTTGTATTCAGAGCTAAAGCCACAGTACGTTGCCGTGAACCAGCTTCTATCATTCCCACGGCTCTGAGCATTTCTTCCCTGCTTAAATGACGTCGCCGCTCCATAATAACGTTGGTTTTAATCAGTAGTAGGGAAACAGTAGCACTAATAATGTCTTCAATGCGTTGTATGTTTTTATAGGGAAAATATTGACAGCTGATTTTCATCTTTTACTCGAATTTGATTCACAGTTCCTGATTCAAATTATGAAATGCACCAAAAAGGATCCATATAAATTTATAAAATCATAAATTTATTACAAAGCCACATCTCAATCTCAAGAAATCCGCATAAAAATGCTTGATCCCTAGACACTTTTGATGTGTGTATTTACAAATTTTAAATGCCAAAAGCAGATCGGTTTCTTTGTATAGATTAGAAAGCTTGATTTGAACAACTGATTTGTACCTATTAGGTACTTACTTATCCACTATTGTTAAAAGCTCCCTCTTTTCTCGCTCCGTATAGTTTTTTCGTGACATATTATGTAAAAACTTTACAAATGAAAATAAATTTCAATGTTTTCGGTACACACAATCACTTTTAATTTTCAGACTTTTAAATAAAAGTCACTTTTATGTTGTCAAAAGATAGAGACAAAGCTATGCGTTAGACAGAAACAAAACATGAATGATCGAATGAAAGTGACTGGTTTTAGCTAGGGTGGCCAGACTAATAAATAAATCCTGCCTTAACAGTAGATTCGTTAATTTTTCGGTAAATATCTTTTCAGAAACCCACAGTTGCTCAACAAATAGTTAATTATGACAGTCTGTCAACTAATTCAATATTTGACATGCGTTTCAGAAACCGGATGTTAATGTTGTAGTTAAAATATATGGCTTTTGCTTTTGGCTTAAGATTTTTCCATAAAAATTTAACATTTTTTTTCTTAATATTAAGAAATGGAAAGAGTTTCTGTTATATTAACAGATATTAAAAGTGATTTCGAAATTCATATCACATATCGAGTTCTTTCTAAAAAACGATGAAATGCAGTGTTAATAAAGAAAAATTTTTCAAAAAATTTGATCCACATTAATACAGTTTCGTTGTATTAGATTAGTTTCCAGAAGTTAAACCATAATGTTAATTTTCCACTTGCTTTATTCAACTTGTACTTCACTGTAATATAAACTAAAATTATTATAACAAGAATATTTAGCAGCAACACCACGTTAAATTTTGGACCACTATTCACGACGAAGGCTCTCGACTGAATACCGTATTTTATGACCGCTCCACTCGCTGGTCCGTCTCCCCTTCACGTCACGTGATAAGATGGTGGGGAGGTAAGGTGATGTGGCGTGATTTAGCATAGACAAACTAAGATAAAAACAATAACTGTACTATTAACCGATCTGTAAAAATGCTAATATTATAAAAATGCTAACAGCTCGGCCATCCTGCATCAAGCGAGACCCTTCGCGATTTGGTTTACAATAAAGACAGGTTTATTATTATATTTGTTTCTTAGGTTTTCACGCACATCACTCATTAAATAAAACTAGTTTTTACGGGTTAATGCACGAAACTTTATTTATTTATTGACGTTTCGTAGCCTTTACAGGCTTCGTCGTCAGAATAAAACTTTTGTTTAATTTGTCGAGCTACCTTCGAAAGACTTTTATTGAGCGTTTGGTTATTTCATTGTTCGGTTTTTAAGTTTTATTGTCTATGTATGAATATATTATTTAATTTACTTAATAAAGTATTTTATTTAAAATTCTTGTTTGTAATTTTGAGTTTATTTATTTGACCCTAACTACCGTAAACTACCACCGGTTCCAAAATTGGGAGACCTTCCTGAGAAGAACCGGCGAATCAAACTCAAGAGAGGCTTTCTATCTCCTTCTTATGTTAAATTATGCAAACAAAAAGAACTAATAGTATCTGATGGTCTTGCAGTGTGTGCTCGGGGTTGGGATTTTATCTCCTGTATAATAGGTTCCCAAGCTGGTGGTATATACCAACCATCTTCCCTATTAAAATTTGGATATTTTTTTAATCTCAATAGCCTCGCGCATCATTCGAGGAACGAACCGCCGCTCAGCTGCAAGGATCTGTGGTCTATCAAATCTAATGTAGTGGTTTGGTCCCCCTAATATTATTATATAATATTATTTTACAGTCTTATATAATATAATGATTCGAATCATAATTTATTTTCATATTGCCATTTAAGAAATAGCAATAATAAAGCAACAAATAAACAAAACAAATTAGCTAAAATACCGTAAAATATAATTACATTCAAATAACCGTTCTAAATTATCTTAGATTCTTTTTGATTTTATAACAATGGCATACATGTTAATAAGACTATATAAAAATAACTAACACATTCAGGTACAAAGCTAAACGTATTGAAACAAACAAAAAAAAAAAAACACTAAAAGATACACATTTTTACATTAAAGAAGACTACTTTCTTCTGCCAGAGGGCGCTTACAAGCAAACACTGTCTTTGCACTAGCTCTCAATAATTTATTCGATCTCGCTGCTACTGTGAACTGTTTACAAGAAACTACAAATTGGTGCATTAATGGATTTACCAATCTTATGACTGACATTTTGTGATTGTTTCGTGCAGTTTGGGAACCCTCCGCGCTTTGTTGTGACACTCTGCCTGGTACAACAAGTAATTACTGTGTAATAATTGGAAAGCATTTCAAACCCAAGCGTTTAAAATTGCTTTATCATTCCAATTGATGCATCTGCAACGCCATCCATGAGGCGCCCCGCGTACGCGCTGCTCTGGAACGTGTATTGCT